AACATACAGTCAATGTGTTGTGAATTGAGTGACTCAAGTGCTGTGAATTTGCGTTTCAATGAAAATCTTAGTTCTGCTTCTATATAAAACGTCTATATACATCATGAAAGGGTTAAAATTTCAATTCATAAACGAGGTCACCGTGGTTTCTCATACCTGCCTTGGTTATGGTTTTCACATTTTTTTTTACCTTACGAATAACTGATATAATGCTTAACTCATACTCCACAGATGATATCACATATTAATTTACAGAGAGACATACAACAAAATAATAGAAGTACAATAAAAGGCAGGTTTTGACAATTCAATTGATCAAAGATTTCTTAGGTGTCAATAAAAGCTGACTTGGACTTTTTTGCCAATCTTAATGTTTCTTCTAGTTAATATCAGATGCATATAACCATTAATTGCTTTTCCTCCATAAATTATTTTGAATGCTATTGGTTTGATCTTTTTTTTCTTCAAGCATAAGATACGTCTATGAAAGTAAGTCCGACTCCTTGGCAGTATCTACCTGAAGAAGTTAAGGTACATCAAATCATCCGCTTACTTGAAAACATCTGGAATATGCGGATTATTCAGATGCATTTTGAATAGCAATAAACCCAACGCTGAAGCATGAGGTACACCACGCTAAATTTGTGTTGTCGGAGACCTATGACAAGTAACATTTTATTGCTATACATGTATTTGTTCAAGTGGATTTTGTGACAACTACAGTGATTTAACTTTTAAGTGATCGCAAAATATATATTAAAGGTCATAAAGTTATTTTCCAAAAAGATAATTAATCTATACTTGACAATTACCTCAATTATTTTTGACAATTGGAGATCTTAGAATTAAGGAGAACTGGTAAATTGAAATTATTGAGTCAGTAACATGATCTATTGTAGTAACGAAGACAAAAGTTACATTTTACAGTCACATAGGAGTAATTATAGGAATAAATGAAGTTCATTGAGTTGATTGGCCAACTTACTCAGGGAATTGTTAGAGTAATCACTAGGTCATCGCGATCAGG